TACACTCTTTGGTGATTTCTTGAATTTGAAATACACTTTGAGTTTTCCTTCTTCTCCTTGTCCTCCTGCTGCAGGGCAGCCAGTCGAGCCGTCTCTTCCTTCTGCAGAAACTCCCGCAGCTGGTCAAACTCCTCTCTGATCTGCTTTTCTATATGACCTGAGTCTGGTTCTAGCACATGCATTATAATTTATAAAAATATTTTTCCCATTACCTTATTTTCTCATTGCACAGCTCCTGTCTTCCTCAGTTGCTCTGCTTCCAGTGCAGCTTGTTTTAAGTAGAGCTTTTATCCAATCAGATTTCACCTCTGTGTCTCTAGGTAAGAAGAGAGGCCCCAGGCCTGCAGACTCACAAGTGCATCCATGTGCAGTTTAAGTGAATGGGGGCGATATTGTTGATTGTCATCGTCTTCAACCAATCAGATCTTTAGTTTGACATGTTGGGCGTATTCTTTGACATGTCAGAGCCTGCTAGCTGGTCTACAAGTACGTCAGCATTACGAAGCAGCTCTGCAGTGAGGTGCAGCATGTGCTGTGATTGGTCAGTGCAGCACGTGACTATTGTGAAACAAAACTTAAAGTAGCCATCAGAGGCTTTGTCGGAGTATTAAGAGTTCAAATTGATAGATATGGAAGAAATTATGACATTTTTGGCTTTTTGCTTGGTGTAGATTTTTTATTTTTTTACCTAGCTTTGTTTTTTTAACACTCAATGGCTGAAGGAGGAGGAGAAACAGATTTGTGAGTTGGGATTTAACCGTGGGATGAAACTCTTTGTCAACAAAGAAAGGAGGATGGAGTTTGTCTTCAAGTGAACTGCGTTTGTTTTTTTACATCTAATATCTGAATGGCCCTCGAGTGTGTAGCACAATGCGTGTTCCACTGCAGGTCTGCTGGATTGATTTTTCATGCTCTGTTGTCATATGAATATATGTGACTGGTTCTTGTGAGTTTGTTGTTATCATTGTGTTAATTATATTGCTTTGGACTATATGCATTGTCCGTTAATTACGAAGCATACCATCATGAGCAGAGTTATTGTTTAAGCTAGTTTAGCGTAGCCTCCCAGAAGTGCGATGCCTCAGCTGTCTTTTGTTTTGTTTTGTTTCGTTCCGGGTTCAGAGGTCACAAAGCCCGTTGTCTCCTACGTGAGCGCAGTCCACCGAAAACATTATATTTCCCACAATTTAAGCTTCTGCATTTTCCAAATGCACTAGTATTATTCAAACGTATCGTTCGGTTCGTAAGCCTCGTACCGAACGGTTTAATACGAATACGTGTATTGTTACACCAATAGAAACAAATAACTGTAGCTTGTTCTTCATAATGAGATTATTAGGTGGTGTTTCAGCTGCAGGACAGCACTGAAGGCCCAGGTATAAAATGCACGGCCCGCCACTGTACTGTTGGGTAAGTTTGTGTGGACAACATGGAGAGTGTGTCTTTAACTAGAAGTCAGTTCACTGGACCTTTATGTTCGACATCAGTCCTTTGCTCTTTGTGTTGCTTTGCTCTATTCTCTGAGCTTTAAAAAAGCCAACATGAACGACATTCCACTTCATCTTGTATGTTTGAACCTTTGGCACTATTATCACTTGCTTTTTTGTTTAGTTGCCTTTTGTTTGCCTTCTGGGATTATCTTTCTTTGATCTATGGCAAGGCGAGATCCTTTCAGTACGTGAGCTCTACACATGCCTGACTTAGTGAGTGACCTACTTTTTGTGTTGGGGCTGTTGGATAGTATACGCACTCTTTGTGAGCTGAGAATGTAGGTGTGGCCAGGCTAACAACCAAATATTAAACAGAGGCTTTCTGCAAGAGCTGAGACGGAGAATTGCAAACTATTGAAGAGGAAATGGCAGCTCAAGCAGTCAGCGTGCTTATCACAGGAGCCAACAGAGGCCTGGGCCTGGAAATGGTTAAGCAAATGGTTGAGGGCTCCCTTCCAGTGAGAAAGCTGTTCGCCTGCTGCAGGGAACCAGCTGGACCCAGGGCTGAGGTGAGTCTTTACTTCCTCTTTGACTCATTGTGCTCTTCAACAGAACAGAACAATACATCAGAAAAAGGTTTGCAAACCATAATATTGCATGACTTAGAAGAAGCAAGAATCCTGCATAGATGAAAGCGGTGGTGCAAGACGTATTCAGATATTTTGCATAAGTAAAAGAAGCGTGAAAAAATAAAGCAAAACTCCTATTACTATCAAAAATTGCCAAAAGCATTCATGCAAAATTGATTTTTTTCTGAATAGGGAGTGATTCATTAATGTGTGCATGACTTTATTTCTGCAGTTGGTAAAGCTGGTGCTAACTTCAATGACTTTTATACTGTTTGATAGCTCAACCTATTGTAATACATAATTATGTATTAGTTGATTTAGGTTTTGTATTCATTTAAATCTGCAAAGTAACTAGTAGCTGAAGTTAGCAAATAAATGTGGTGGCATATAGAAAAATGGAAATATTCAAGAAAAGTATCTCAGAACAGTACTCGAGTAAATGTATTTCATTATACCTCATGATTATTTGTTTTTATGCTTTTTTCATGCTGAATGACCTATTTTCAAGAAACGAGATTTGAAGTGGTGCTTTTGAGTGATTCTTTGTGAAAAAACTTTTTTTTGCAGATTAAATTGACTAACTTGTCTTCTCTGTATATTTTAAGGCCTTGCAAACACTGGCAAAGAAGCACCCTGACGTCATCGTTGTCGTCCGTCTGGGTACAAGCTCTCTCTTTGTGTTACGTTGTGTTGAACCCTCCATCCTGCTCCCATGTTGTCCTGGCACGCACTGGCCTCGACTCTATGAATAGCTCACGGCTCTTGATATTTATCTGACTGTCTGCTATTGATCACCTCTGATGCTCCACTTTCCTTCTCTCTCTGTCAGACGCCACTGACCTTTGTAGCATTAAACTGTGTGCGCAGCAGGTGGGCTCTGTGGTTGGGACGGGTGGTCTCAACCTGCTGATTAACAACGCAGGCATACTGGTTAAAGCCACCGTGCAGGAAACCACTACTGAAGACATGCAGAACACCTTCAACACCAATGTCATTGGCCCTATGAACATCATTAAAGTAAGGGAGAGGAAGATCTGACACACAGAACTCTAACACTGTTCAAGTTTCCTCTTGCTGACTGTCTTGCTGGTGGTCATCATTTAGGAGTTCCTGCCTCACCTTCGTGCAGCAGCGAAGGCCAGTAGGATAACAGGGATGTCCAGCAGCAAAGCAGCCGTCGTCAGCATCTCCTCATTTCTGGGTTCATTGGAAGTTGTAAAACAGTCATATGCCCACTTCCGTGCCGTCCCCTACCGCGTCAGCAAAGTGAGTGACAACCTGTTAACACTGTGACCTGCTACTCAATGGCTTCATCTTACATTTAAGTGCAGCTGTTCACCCATCACCTCAATTGCTTCATCCGTCCCCCCTCTTCTCTCCTCAGGCAGGTTTGCATATGCTGACACTGTGTGCTGCAGAGGAGCTAAAGACGGATGAGATCCTGTTTTCTCTGATACACCCTGGCTGGGTGCGCACTGACATGGGTGGAGAGGAGGTGAGTCAGCAGGAAACAATGTCGAGGAAGCTCTGAATGACACTTTACTTTATCAACTGAGAAGCACAACATTAAAATCACACCATATGATTTCACAGGATCAGATTCATAAAACTTATTCATTTTAAAGATTCATCCTACACAGCACAGGCTTGTTTTATTCATGCGTTTCACTTCTTTAAAGTTCATTTTAAGCCTTTAAAGAAATTTGCAACATCTTATGGTCCCTCGAGTGAACCCACGTGATTACAGATATCCTGCATGCTTTCACTTGCCAACATAGTGACATCAAAATAAGATGTGGATCAGATATGAAAGTTTCCCAGCCGGTCAGGAATGAAAATGGCCGACTGAGTATGATTTTTTTTGAACAACAGATTTTAACCACTTATAGGTAGAGTCCATAACTGGTCTGTGAGTAGAATCATTAGATTCTTAACTCAGCTGTGCGAGCCTTCGTGTTAACTGTGTGTTTCCGACCACCAGGGGGAGATCGATGCTCCGGACAGTGTGAAGGGGATGCTCAGTGTGATGGCGTCCCTGACTGAGGAGCAGAACGGAGCCTTCCTGAGCTACCAGGGCAATACCCTCCCCTGGTAGCTTTAAGCAACCACTTCATAAACTGCAGTCAATCACTAACTGAAAATAAAATAAACCAATACTTGTGCTCATTACTTTGCCTACATCGTGCTCATTTTACACATAAGCATGCACTTAGATGAGTTGATACACTCTTTGGTGATTTCTTGAATTTGAAATACACTTTGAGTTTTC